TGTGGATTGAGTGAAAGTTTACAGGGTATATCATCAGTTTTACAGTCAACAAATCATATACCTTGTTTCATTACATTGATTATAATCCCCTCCATGTACCATCAGTTAACAGTATTTCTTTCTATCCACTTTAGTTTTTTTAAAAAACAAACAAACAAACAACCACTCAGGCATATATAATAATTTACATCTCCAAAGGGCACATTCTGCAAGTCTGCTCCTGGCCACCAAATCTTAGTCCCTCTCTCTTCTTAGTCCATGAATCTAGAGTCCTCTGTTCAGTCATTTTTTAATGATTTTCAGCAAACGTTTACTTGCATGTGGTATTAGTGATATTGTTCAATGATTTTTGCATTCCACTTGGCTACCTCTCCTCGATATGGGTTCAAATATGTAGCTATTTCATTGGCTTGCCAGACGAGTGAGTGTACCCAGTGCAGCATCAGTTTGTTGAAACGCTTCCATTTATATTCAGTCAATTCCAGGAACCTTGTTTTTCACAAATGCCTACATTGAACTTTGGAATTCTTCCTTGAAAACTGTCAGTTCTTGATCATATAATGCATTTTGAAATGGTTGAGCATCAACCAATTCTTTTTGGTATAATGACTCAGTGTATTCCTTCCCTCTTCTTTTGATTCTTCCTGCATCATTCAATATTTTGTCATTTCTGACTCATAGTGACCCTGGTATAGGTTTTCCAAGGATCAACTGGTAAGCTTGAACTGCCAACCTTGCAGTTCAAACTGGCCATACGGTCTAGTACATTAACCCGCAAGACAATAGACTATGTCAATATTGCAAGCTAGACTTAAAATTTTCCTTCAGTTTTTCAGCTTGGAAAATGTTGAGTGTGTTCTTCCGTTTTGTTTTTCTAGCTCAAGAACTTTTTATTACTTTTTATATAAACTTATACTACAAAATTATAATACTATGCTTTCTCTTCTTGAGCTGCCCACTGAAATTTTCTGTTTAACCCTCACTTCACCATTTTTCCCAGTTGATTTAGCTTCTCTATATCCAAAAGCAAGTTTCAATCTCCTCTGATATCCATTTTCATCTTTTCTTTCTTTCCTGCATTTTAAACTTCCTTTTCCTTTCTTCACATATAATGATATTTATGTCATCTCATAATTCCTCTTAGTGTTCAACATATCAAATCTGTTCTTGAGGTGATCTCTAAATTTAGGTGAGATGTATTCATGGGTATATTTTGACTCTTGTGTTTCAGCTTCAGCCTTAACTTGTAAATAAGCATTTAATGATCTATTTCACACCCTGTCCTTGTTTTGGCTGATAATATTGAGCTTCTCCAGTGTCTATATTCATATGTGCAGTCATTTAATCCCTGATTATCTATCTGAGGAGATTTGCATTTTTATGCACCTTTTATGTTGTTTAAAACAGATATTTTCAATAAAGAAGTGGATGGACTTATACAATTCTATCATGCAACCTCCAGTATCATTTTTATCACCAAGGTCATATGTTCCACTACTGATTGTTCCACTCTGCTTCCAAATTTCATGTTGCAATTTAAAGTAATTATCTATACATTTAGATTGCTTTTTGATCAATATCACACTATAAGAGGATAATAGAATTCTTCAATTTCTTCATCATTAACTTTAATTCTTTCTACATAAATTTGAAAAGTATTTGTATTAATTAGTCTGTCTTGTAGGCATATGGGTATTATCATATGACAGACAGCACTGTGCTTCAAGATAGATATTAAAATGCTCTTTTTGGTTATGAATGAAATGCCATTCTTCTTCAATTTATTATTACCATATGATTTCTCAAATCAAAATAACCACTATCTGTCCATTTTAGCATAGCATACTGATCTTCAACTGTTCCATTTCATTTTTGATGACTTCCAATTTTCCCAGATTCATATTTTGTACGTTCCAGGTTCTGATTTTCAGCGGATGTTTACAGCTGTTTCTCTTCATTTTGAGTTGTGCCCCATCAGCAAATGAAGGTCCCAC